ACAGGGAAAGCGTGTGAAGTACCTGCCGCAAAGCTGGCCGAGTATTTTTTGGTAAGGGTAAACGTAACCTGTCTGTAGAAATGCATAGGGACTATTAACATCGCAAACAAAACTTTAAGGACCGTTTTGGATGTACGCTGGAACAGCCACGGGCCGGAATTAGGTTTTCAAAAGCCTCATATATGGGGGGAATGTCACGGATGCTTTAGAAGTCTTCAGGTACACGTAAAAACGACATATATATTACATATTCTCTACACAGAACAACCACCATTTGAAATGTGCCCCTTTTTAACTACCATTATGAGCTGTCTAAAGAGCATTTTGGTTGAAACTTGGGAGGAAAGGAGGAAAAAAAAAAAAAAAAAGCCCACTGATCTTACACCTGCTCTTTAGCAGTGGGAAGTGGGTTCTCAATCTGTTAACATGACCATCTGGCCAATCTGCATATCATGGCTATCTAGATTACTGTACGATGGAATGACAATAACGTAGCCAAAACAAAAGTAAAATGCATCAAAACCTAACAGTAGCTCAGCCCTTTTGATTTTAAATTAAATAATAAATGTGGTATCACAGCAAAGCGAGAAAGTCAGCTAAATAATTAAAAATGAGCCTTCGCTACGGCATAATTAAGTAAACAATATGGTGTGTGTTTCTATAGGAGCCGGCAATAGTTTCCACCATCGAAGGCTCCACTTTTGCAAAGCAGCTATCAGGAGTTCAAGACGCTGCGACAGCTCTTTTGGTGATGTACAGTATTGTCAGGACACCTCTCACATCCCTGCAACACGCCGAACCGGCTGCGGCTATTAACAGGATTAATGCAGCAACAATCAATACCAATTGTGCTAAAAGATTACGGCGCAAAGCCTTATGTACCTTTCGGACTCCCCGATACCTCCATGGGTACTTTGGCTATCTGCAGGCGTTTTCTGCCTTAACCCATCTTTGGGTTATTCCCATCGATGCCTCTTTGCGGCGGTCCAAGTCGAAATCTTTTAAATTCGCCGATGGGAAGGTAAAATGGGTCTGCTTAAAGTTCAAGGTCACGTGCTATATACTATCGCCCAGGCAATTAGCCATAGAGCGTATTTAGACGCTAAGTAAATTTTCACAGTCGCAGAAATCAGGCTGACTTCTTGCATCTTCGCTGGCTTTTATCCTGAACGTGAACAGAAAAATGAGCTCGTGTAAATAAAACCCTGTCCCCAGATTTTTCTTAAATTTGGGATTTTTAAACGTCCTTCTGAAAGATTAAAAGATTTTCTCTGCCACAAATACCTCGCTAGCTTAATTCTCGCCCAAAGCGCATAATGATGGCCGTCCAAAAAAATAAACCGGGCATTGCAGCATCGCCTCCTGGTCTGCCATCCAGCTTCGTCCACTGGAGAAGTCTCTAAAAACTGTGACCTCTCACTAAATTTAACTACTTCCATTGCGAATCTATTCTCCAATCTGATCACATTAGCAGAAGGAACTCCAAAGCAGTAAAAAACTCCAGAAAGTTCTCGGTTGAGTGCCTACTAATGAACAAAGGTTAACTTTATCTAAAAGGTCAAATGCCTGGTGGCTAAGGTTGTGACCTTAACAACTTAAATTGTGACCTTGCCACGTGCCTAGTATATTGTAGATTCTGATACAGATCATCTGGTAAAGGACCGGTCATAAATTAGCTTTACTGTTCGACTCCCACAAAGAAAACGGTTTGCCACAATGGTTTCCAACTTGTCATTTGATACAAGCGCAGAATAAGTGAAAACTAAAAAGCGAACCCAAGTTCAGGGTATGAAAATGCCGCCTGCTTTTAGTTAAGCAGATTAGAAACTGCAAACTGAGAGCAATACTCTAGATTTCAATACGTTTTTTGGTCAACCTCTAATTCACAAAACACCGATCTTCCTTTTCTTTTTTTTTTTTCTTTTTTTTTTTTAAAAAACGAAAATGACACGTAGTTTCCCTATTTGCATATTTTTGTTTTCTCTTTCTAGCCAGTTCTTAAAGAGAATAATTGATTTCAGTAGCTTTGTAAGAAGCACTATTTAAATCTGTGCACATGTGTTCCCTTACAGATGATAGTGCCTACTGAAGAAAAAGCGTGGATTCAAAGCAATAATTATCGTACATGTTTAGAAGGAAAGGGACATCTCACTGCCGAAGTCATCTCGAATAAGGGCATCTTGGAAGAGAATACTCGCCCTCAAAAAAAGGCGACGAAGAGTGGGAAAAAAAAACAAGAAAAAGAGAAGCGAGCACTATGGGTGAAAAGGTCACAATGGTTTTGGCACGTATCTTCAAGCACGTTTCGGAGTCTGTGCCTCCTGCCAATACTGGCAACTTCTCAAAACTTTTAAGGAGGTAAAAACATTGTTTAGTGTTTACAAATCTTCTGTACTATAGCAGATGCTTGTCAAATCCGCTATATGTAAGTTGACCAGCCTACCTAATATTTGCGCTGGCAACTTCCTCCTTATAAATAAGTGGTCCATACATTTGGGGAGCGAGGCCTGATGGAGTTTGAGACAAAGGACCCTTAATATTTTTTTTCTTTTGTAATTTTCCTGTTGCGCACCCGGCACAAGCTGCCATTACTGCGGGTCTGCGGGAACCAATGGCTGTCAACTTGGCCAATGTTCAGGTGTAACAAAGACTGCTGGGATACATCGGAGGGGGGAAAAAAAAAAAAGGGAAAAAAAGGGGGGAAAAAAAAAAAAGGTAGCCTATATGCGAGGCTTTCGGTACTTATCTGTGAAGCGATATAGACGGCGACCACGCTGTCCTACCTCCTAAAAATCAGTTTGTCCCCCTCCCCGGTGAGGTTTAGCAGGGAATACACCAGCACACGCTACTGCATTAAGAGCACAATGCGATGCGTGCAATCAGCAAACAACGGCCGAAAACACGAAGCGATGCGGTCTGTTCGAGCGTGTTACTGCTTACACAAAACCGCAAATCTAACCCAAAAAAACGAGCCTAAGCCTCGCGCTAAGTTTCCGCAGCAAATGTCTGGTCCAAAGAACAATTAGTGCAATTGCTGCCTGTTGACGATGAAGGCAGAAATAAATAAGAGTTTGCTATCAAGGCTACTGTTTGCCAACAGGGTGCTGATAAGATGGTATATTCCTAATCACAATATCGAACTTTTATAATGTCTATTGCCCGACTCTTGTAACAGGAAGAGGATCCCTTCGAGCTGCCCGGAGTACTTACACCCCGGGTTTGGTCCTTTTCTCCCCATCCTACATTTTTGTGATCCTACGCGCAGGCTAAACCAAGACCGTTGGTTTCTATTAACAGTTCTTGCACTCCGCAGAAGCCTGCTTTTCCCTTAGGAAACACAATACGGACCGGTATTTGCCAGCACCACGTTATATATAAATCTAAATAATAAAAACCTGCATGCCGTACAGCAGTACATCGTGGTTTTCAGCCGTGGATATCAAGGTACTTTTAAGCGCATCAGCCCGCTCCAACGTGCGGAGGAGGAAACTGAGGCAGACAAAAGGGATGCGGGACCCCGGCCTCCTCGGGGCCAGTGATGGAACGGGAGAGGACCCGCAACGCCCCAGCCCCAGTCTCCCTTCGATTAGCCATTAATTGGCAATCCTTCCTTCACCGTGCCCCATCATAAATCGCAGAGTAAATAAATAATTTTCCACAATATTTGCCTACCTCCCCTTTGCCATAAACGTGCAATATGATTTACCGCACCGAAGCGCAAAGTAAATTTTGCAGCTTATCTGTAGGAAATACCACGAGGATACTCGAAAGTTATTTCCGAACGGGGATCATACCCGTAAATCACAGCGGCAACGCTGCCTATCGCAACAACCGCTGCAGGGACTCGGCGCAGAAAAACTTTGGGGTAGCCAAAACTTTCTGCGAGACCCTCCGCAAGAAGCTGGCATTGGAAACGCAGGCTCCCAGCGCTGATTTGCTCAGTTTTCTTACTGATACGTATTTATAGAGAAGCGGTTGCTACTAATACGATTTCTATCCCCTCTGCTCCTCTTTTTTTCCAGCCTGCCCAGCCCCTCAACTTGCAAGTCAGGCTGAAACCCAGGGGGACGTATGCATACCATACGTGAAAACCGGGGCCTAGCACTTCACACGCGCACATTTTTCTGCAATATAGTCACTCAGGAGAACTACAATAGCATATTATTTTATCCAGTCAACATACTACACATCCTCTGAGCACACCGAGTCGCTCCGCGGGCAGGGTGTACTTTGTGCTGGAGTCAGAGAGCCCAAGATTTTAATCTCACGCAAAAACATCTCAGTCCCCCCCCCCCGCTCCCCGCCCCAATAACCACAATATTATCAAACCAGGAATTTGTTTCACGACCTGCTCGGCTTCTAGGAGTATAAACTGTGATATTTCGGGGGGGTTAAATGCCTCTTTTTTTCCCCCATAGGATTAGCCGGGGGTTTGTTTCGTGGCTCCTCAGACCCGATGACTAGGTTTGCTGTCGAAGGACCGTCTCCTCCTTTCCCTCCAAGCCCAATCCTGCGGGATTTACGCTCCCCATCCCGTCCCCGTGGGGTGAGGATACCTGGTACTGCTGACCCACAGGCCTCGGGCACCTCTAGCCCTCTTAGACTACTTTGTGCATAGCATATACAAACTTTATTTAAAAAAAAATAATAGCAATTAAAATCTGTCTGCTTTCCCCCAAAATCAGGATAAAGGAAGCCGCATCCAGCTGCGATCCCTCCTAGGACAACAGTTAGGATAACACCTGCGAAGGATGCCCGAAATGCCGTTAACCCTGGGAAAACGAGAGCAGCTTTTACGCGGCTGCACCTTAAAAGCCCACGGGGAAAAAAAAAATAAATAAATAAAGCGGGTGAGTTTTGGCACTCTCCTCGCCGCCCCGGGAGGGCAATAACCGGCGTCCCCTGCTCCCTCCCCGGCTCATGCAGCCGCCGCCGGGGCACGGCACCCGGCACGGAGATAAACCGAAAAGTTGGAGAAGGTGGTATAGAAAGGCACTTACCTGCTGCGTGCACAAAGTATGCCAAATATAAATCGAGTTCCTTAACAGAAACTCCTATATGGTGGGGCTGTACGCACAGCCCGGGGTTAGAGCACTGTGGGGACTTTACAAGGCGCTCGCCATCAGTACTTTCGAGCGGAATACCTTTAAATAAAATCACCATAACAAGGTCCAACCTCCAGACCTTATCTGCCTGGCGAAGGCAGTCAATTCTTCTCATCTTGCCCTTCTGGTCTGGATTGGAAAGAACGCAACACGGAGGCTTTTTTCCTGTGACTGTGAGAACAAAATCCTCCCGAAATTCAGGCCTGATATCTTTCCGGAGCTTTGCCAGAAGTCTGGATGCCCATTTTTGCTTTACCTCGGGTTTTTCACTTAGCAGTTCGTCCTTCACGGCTCTCTCTTCCTCTTTTGACATGCGTTTTTCATGTTTTTTGAAGTATTTTCTTTTTCGGGCTTGCAGGTTGAACCACGTGTACGCAAACGCTCGGACGTGAGGCAGAAGTGCTTCGATGAAGGGATGAAATTCATCCTGAAAAAGTTACAGAGAAGGGTCGGTGTCACCGAAACCATCAACAAAAAGCCTCCGGAAACGGGGCTTTCGCGAGGCGCGAAGGCTCGCCAGGACAGCGACCATCGGGAGGGTGCTTATACGTTTTACGGGCCGCGGGACTCGTACCCCTCGCCGACGGACCCCCACCCCGCCGCGTCCCCGCTTCACCTCGCACCCACCCAAAACCCCTGCTCACCCACACACCCCCCCCGCCGAAAAACGGGGTCCAGCTTCAAACAAGCACCCGGGCAGAGACGGTGCAACGATGGGGCCCTTTCCCCCCATCCCCAAATCTCTTTAAAAAAAAAAAAAAAAAGGCAGAACGAGTTAAAAGCTAAAAACCCCGCTGCGAGTCCACTTGCGGAGCGCGTATCTCCCTTTGCTCTCTCCCTGACCCCGCTGCTTGCGGTGTAGCCAGCGTATGCCCGCCAATTTGGCAAATCCTAAACATTTGGATGCCAATCAATGTTTGTATGGGGAAGTCTAAAGTATAGTAAAACTTTCCCTAAGATATATTTGGAAATAGCAGCAGGCAGTATAGTAAAATGCCAATATAGCTGCACACACAAATACAATGAAGGGTGGTTTTCTCTCCGTTTCCTCAACGGTGAAGGGAGTAGAAAGTAACGCGGCTGATTTATCCCGCGCGCACAACAATAACTAACACTAAAATCCTAGAAAAAGCAAGTCTCGCGATTTTTTTTTTTTTTTAAGGTTTTGTTTATATTTAGTCAAAAAGAAAAAAATAAAAATCTGCTATCCGGGCACATTAGGACAAGGCAAACTCTGAGCCTTTCTGCAAAATAATAAGAAACAGGGAAAACTGAAAAATACGGTAACAGAAAACCTTAGCACGACTTGTGCAAATATGCAGAGAATTATTAATTTTTTTCTTTACATGTTGTGTGGTGTTTTCATACATTTAAAAAGAAATGCCCTACTTGGAAAGTTAGTTTGGCCATCCAGAGACACTGCTCGCTTTGTGTAACGATGAGTTAAAGATCCCCCTTCTTCCTTGGCACAAAAATAATCGCTATTAAAATTATGCTGACAATTAAAAAAAACCCGCAAGAAAGACCCCCCCCCAATTTTGTTTAAAAAACAAACAAACAAAAAATCTGCAAAAAGTACTACATAAATCAGCCAGAGAGATCAAAACATTATTATATTATAATATATTGAGGCCATGCTTCTTGTTTTTCTCTGAATAAACGAATGACCGAACTCCAGGCTGCACATAAAAACATATATAGCCTGTGGGGGCCTGATCCAGCCCCATGTGCTGGGGACATCCCTGCTTCCAGGGGCCGAGTTCCTCCTTTTCTCAGGATTGGGCCCTCTAGGAGGGAAAAATAAAGTAATTTGTGCAACATTTCCCCCAGCGTGGTAAAAGCCACCCACTGCCTACCCTTGCAAGGCGACATTGGGGATTTTTCAGATTAACTAACTTCTTTTTTTTTTTTTTAATTATCCCAGGGAGTACATTTCCTATCCAAATCATTTCAGGTTGCGCAAATATTGTTATTAAAACAGACATCTTACTCCCTTTCAGCACCTTATTTTAACTTGCATTTTCTTTTCAAAAATTATGAAAAATTGAGAAATCAATAGTAGAAATATCTATCAGCAAAATGCTGTCGTAATTCAAGACCTTCTGCTGACTTCCCAAAAGCTTTCCTTGCACTTATTCTGAGTGGCCCCTGAATTGTAAATACTGAAATCTATAGGTAATCCCACAGCATTTCTTTTTATTTTAAACACAGGTTGTTAAAAACTACCCAAAACGGCACAATATATTTCATTATAGCACAGCAGAGCGGCAGTAATCACAAGTACTATGAATGATTATTAAAATATAAGCAGGTAAAATAAAATAAATCACTCCAATGACTGGCACATTCCTCCTCCCCCCCTCCACCCCCCCGGAAAAGATCATAGTTTCAAATTTCAATAAAGTTTTTTAAAAAATAGTAAAAAAAAAAAAAAAAGATTGCTGCGAGTTTGCAGTCGGCAGATTCAAAAAGTGAGAGGAGGCACAATCCCAGCACATGGAGCTGCTCTCACCCACCAGAAACAGCTCTCTCACGGAGGGTGGGGGGAGCGGAGGGGGAAAGAAAAAAAAAATAAATAAGGAAAATATAAAAACGACAGGTCCCTACGAGCTATTAAAAATAATAAACCCTCTTTTCTGATCCCTCCTGTCCTTCACCTTCTCCACTCAGGGAGAGTCAAGGAAAAAAGGCCTTTTGTCAAGTGGAAGTTTATCTGCGAAGGTACACACAGCACAGGCTCCACAGACCCACAATGAGCCAGGGGAGCGCTTCAAGCGTTCCTAGTTTCTAAACACGTCTTGGTACATCCTGAAATATTTTAACTTTTCTGCTTTAAGCAGCGCTTTGTCCTGCCTGATCTCATGTGCTCGGGACTTTTTTGGCTCGACGCTGGATGCTATCCAAGAGAGAGTCGCTTTAACCTGCGCTAAAGCTGATTTCGACGATGTGAACCTGAAAGGGGAGGTAAAAACAACACCCGAAAAAAATAAAATAAAAATCCCAAACCCACTTTAAAAGACTTCAGGGGGAGGGGGGTAAAAAAAAAAAAAAAAAAAAAGGTGCTTTTTGGTCTAAAGTCAGGGCCCATGGCTGAAGTAAATGAAAAGCCCCGCTGCTCGGCGCGCGAGGTGTGCACGTCCCTATTAGGCTCCAATGTGTCTTTTCAAAATGGTGTACGAGGAGAAAAGGTTAATGACTCATAAACAGACCAACTTTCAAACTGTCTTGGTAAACACGCCGCTCCGGAAAATCGCACCGCTTCAATCTCAGCAGCGAGGTATTAGCAAAGTCGAATTGGAAATAAAAGCATTCAGGACTGATCAAACAAAATTGGGCTGGAAGCAGGGACGGAGGGGGGGGGGGCAGTTTCTGCACAATAATATTATTTATTTTGGTGTTGTTATAGCCCCCCCCCCCCCCCAAAAAAAAAAGTTTTGGAAATGGGTCAGTGCAAGCATGCTAACAGATGTGCAGACTTGTCTGCAGCCTCACTGCAAAATATCAAGATTTTAAGTAACTGGTGGAAAAGGAGCTGATCTTTGCCTTTCCCCAAGTTAGCTTTAAGGGAAACTTTCAAAGTATTTGATAAAGAGGTTTGCTTTCCCGCCTCAGCATGTGATGGGTCACCTAAAAATAAAAGGCACTGGAAAGCTGGGAAAGCAAGAATTAAAAGTAAGTTTTTTTTCATTGCACTCACTCTCCAAAGTTTGAGGATACAGCTCTTCCGAGAACAGCCCGCTTCTAAGCAGCACCTAAAATTTGGGCCGCACAATTCTGTATTGCTTATACGGAAATTCTCCTCTGCCTCTTCACAGAAAGGTGTAAAAAAAAAAAAAAAAACCCTAACAAAAAAACCCCTGTGACAAAAGAGCCCCCAAACCCAGCCCAAAGGCGCCCGCAATAATGTAACACTGCAAAGGAGTCTTTTGAAACAATATATTTCTGCTGATCTTTTTGAAATTAAGCCAGCTACAGCGACCCTTGTTAATATTTTTACAATCCATTTGCTTGTAAATCTATTAGGAGATGTGCATATGTTCCCCAACTATTTCCTAGATCTTCAGCAGATATGTAAATGGAACGATGTTTAGATTTTTCCTGACAGATGAGACAAAATGCTCGTGCCATTTCAGTTCCAGTGCTTGGATAAAGACGCTCGTAACTAGGATTTCTGTTTGTTTTCCTTTTCTAACCCACTTTCGAAAGCTTCCCTTTAAATCTGCATCAAAACTTAACAGCAAAAAAAAAAAAAAAAAAAGAGAAAAAAAAATCTCCGTCCCAAAACTCGTATCAATATAAGCTCCTGAAATGAAAAATAGGAAATTGCTTGCAATTGCTAAGGGCTCGCCCCCTTTTTCTACAGAAAATTACAGAATCACCTAACTGATCCTTTGGAGGGAAGAGTTTGTCAGGAGGCCTCTAATCCTCGTATTACTTTTCCAAACGTGCAACAAGAATGCGAGATTTTCACAACTGAGTAAAAGCCCAGTGCCTGGCTTTTTGCTTGTTTCTTTTTTTTTTTTAAATTAAAAAAAAAAAGCAGGACGACACACACACACACACACACACGCACGATGACCGGGACAGGGAGCAACCGGCCCATGGATTTATTTTCTCTCCTTAACGTACAACTGGGCCTACTAAACCCGAGTAGCTACACGTGCAGATGCAAAGCGATGCGCTACGTTGCCGGCCCTCCGAGGAGCGTATCGCTTGTCCCTCCTGCAAAAGCAGAACCGACCAAAACCCCAGGATTTTTTTTTTCTTTTTTTTTTTTTCCCCAGAGTTGAATTCAAGGCACAAACTTTGGCCAGGCAGAACGCGGAGTTGCATCCCGCGTCCTCCGCAAACTCCCTCCGCTCTCGTTTGCCTCCTGCCTTTAATCAAGCGCACGGTTTTTAAGCCCGGTGGAGTTTCGTGCCCCGCGCCGGCCTGGCTTCTCCTCACCGAGCACCCAGAAATTTGGGGGAAGGCCGGGGAAGGAAGGCGGGGGGAGGCCGGCAAGGGAAGGGGATGAAACTTTTGCAGCTCTTCGAGGCTGCCTGGGAAAGCTGCTTCCCCTCTCTCTGCATTTCCTCGCCTTTTTCTCGACGGAAAGAGCCCGGAGAGGCTTTCTCACCAGGAGAAAAAAAAAAAAAAAAAAAATTCAAATTAAATTAATAAGAATAATGTAGTCAAAATCTCCTGCAGGAGGAAATAATCTGGGGTTTGAGTCCACCACAAAGCATTTCCTCGTTAAACCATTATATCCTGCTAATTGAAGGTGTGCAATTTAGCGTCCTGCAGCAGCAGTGCGCGGGGAACGGGGCTGGGGGGGGG